AGCGGGCAGGTTGTTGGGCGGCCGGCCGTCACAAGTCGCAAGATTTCATGTGGAGAGAGAGGGGAGAAAGAAGTCAAAGCATAGGGTAGGGCAGTGTGAGCAGGACCAGCAGTGTCATTTGACTTAACAAACGAGGATCGGATGTCGTCAACCTTCTTTTCAAAATGGTTGACGAAGTCATCCACAGAGAGGGAGGGGGAGGAGGATTCAGCAGGGAGGAGAAGGTGGCAAAGAGCTTCCTAGGGTTAAAGGCAGATGCTTGGAATTTAGAGTGGTAGAAAGTGGCTTTAGCAGCAGAAACAGAGGAAGAAAATGTAGAGCGGAGGGAGTGAAAAGATGCCAGGTCCGCAGGGAGTCTAGTTTTCCTCCATTTCCGCTCGGCTGCCCGGAGCCCTGTTCTGTGAGTTCGCAATGAGTCGTCAAGCCACGGAGCAGGAGGGGAGGACCGAGCCGGCCGGGAGGATAGGGGACATAGAGAGTCAAAGGATGTAGAAAGGGAGGAGAGGAGGGTTGAGGAGGCAGAATCAGGAGATTGGAGGGAGAAGGATTGAGCAGAGGGAAGAGATGATAGGATGGAAGAGGAGAGAGTAGCAGGAGAGAGAGAGCGAAGGTTGCGACGGCGCATTACCATCTGAATAGAGGCAGAGTGAGTAGTGTTGGAGGAGAGCGAGAGAGAGAGCGAGAGAAAGTAGTGGTCGGAGACATGGAGGGGAGTTGCAGTGAGATTAGTAGAAGAACAACATCTAGTAAAGATGAGGTCAAGCGTATTGCCTGCCTTGTGAGTAGGGGGGGACGGTGAGAGGGTGAGGTCAAAAGAGGAGAGGAGTGGAAAGGAGGCGGCAGAGAGAAATGAGTCAAAGGTAGACGTAGGGAGGTTAAAGTCACCCAGAACTGTGAGTTTGTGAGCCATCCTCAGGAAAGGAACTTATCAATGATAGCCTACCCCAGCCAAACCCGCTGCGCCGCCCTATGGGACTCGCAATCACGTCCGGATTGTGATACAGCCTGGAATTGAACCAGGGTCTGTAGTGACGCCTCTAGTACTGAGATGCAGTGCCTTAGACCGCCGCACCACTCTGGAGCATTACTTAGTATAGTACCGCTCCCGAGTGTAGTACTTAGTATAGCATTTTGTAGTATAGTGTACAATACTATAATAAATATTACAGTATTATCCACACAAAAACACTGTAGTAAATACTACAGAAATGTCAGCAAAAACACTACATAACAGTATTTAATTTGCATATACCCTGCCCATTCCCCTCCCCCATATCCCAATTTGTGCCACCCATAAGTGAGAAACCTACATTACCATATATTGTGTTCCCTATGGTTATGAAAAGAGAAGAAGCTCTGAACTCCCTGTTCAGAACCCAATCCTACCTATCTACAGGTTATTTGGTCTTTTTATTTTATTTGGTACTTTTTACCCCTTCTTCTCCCCAATTGGTAGTTACAGTCTTGTCCCATCGCTGTAACTCCCGTACGGACTCGGTGGGGGCGATGGTCGAGAGCCATGCATCCTCCGAAACACGACCCTGCTTCTTGACACACTGCTCGCTTAACCCGGAAACCAGCCGCACCAATGTGTCGGAGGAAACACCGTCCAGCTGGCGACCGAAGTCAGCGTGCATGTGTCCGGCCCGCCACAAGGAGTCGCTAGAGCGTGATGGGACAAGGACATCCCGGCCGGCCAAACCCTCCCCTGACTCGGATGACGCTGGGCCAATTGTGCGCCGCCTCATGGGTCTCCCGGTCGCGGCCTGCAGCCTGGGTTGGAACCCGGGTCTGTAATGCCTTAGACCGCTGCGCCACTCGGCCCTATTTGCTCTTTCAGTATTTCTCCAGTAGGTTTCCTCAAGGAGAAAGCCCCCCACTTCTATGTCAAAGATAATTAAACAAAAATGTAATGTCTCCAAAAACACTACAGAAAATACTACAGTCCGCAAAAAACACAACAGTAATTACTATAGTATATATAAAATGTTTTACTACATTATTTATACTATAGTAAACTGTAAATACTACAGTATTCATTAGGGTTGGGCGATATCTATTTCATATCGTTTCTGTACCATACTGTTCTGTTTTTTGTTGCACAAACCAATTTAAGCAACAGGGATATAATTTATTTGACATCTTAGATTTCTTATAGTTAGTTATAGTTTTAAGCAGTGGCGTAGCACACACCCCCCCCCGCAGTCCAGTCTGCCCCCAACCCCAAAATAAATGTTTTTTTAAACGGTATTGAATATCATACTGCCGGTATTTCGAAATACACCGGTAAACGGTATATCGACCAAGCCTAGTATTCATTGTTGTGTTTTTGCAGACTTCAGTCCAGACTACAGTAAAGTCCACAAAAACACTACAGTAAATACTACAGGATTCCTACCATAGTAACACTATAGTATTATTTTCATGGGGGAATCCACCAGGTGGAGTGAGTTAAGTGCACACACCTCAGGGAGAAGGCCTGGGTAAAAAATCTGGATATAGCACTCCCACTACAGGACACAGTGCATCCTTCACTACAGGACACAGTGCAGCCTTCACTACAGGACACAGTGCAGCCTTCACTACAGGACACAGTGCAGCCTTCACTACAGGACACAGTGCATCCTTCACTACAGGACACAGTGCATCCTTCACTACAGGACACAGTGCATCCTTCACTACAGGACACAGTGAAGCCTCCACTACAGGACACAGTGAAGCCTCCACTACAGGACACAGTGAAGCCTCCACTACAGGACACAGTGCAGCCTCCACTACAGGACACAGTGCAGCCTTCACTACAGGACACAGTGCAGCCTTCACTACAGGACACAGTGAAGCCTCCACTACAGGACACAGTGCATCCTTCACTACAGGACACAGTGAAGCCTCCACTACAGGACACAGTGCATCCTTCACTACAGGACACAGTGCATCCTTCACTACAGGACACAGTGCAGCCTTCACTACAGGACACAGTGCATCCTTCACTACAGGACACAGTGCATCCTTCACTACAGGACACAGTGCAGAGTGAGGGTCGCAGGGTAGAGTGAGGGTCGCAGGGTAGAGTGAGGGTCGCAGGGTAGAGTGAGGGTCACAGTGCTGTAGTCCCAGAGCTACAGACAGTAGATTTAGATGGCATGTCAGATATACTTGTCAGACACTTTGCGCTGATATGATTTGTGGTGGTTCCCAAATGGCACCCCGTTCCCTTCTATTCCCTATAGCTTTTGCCCACAGCCCATAGGGTGCCGTTTCGTTTGGGACGCAGCCTAGAAGCATAAGCCCAATATGAAACGGTTTGAACGTTGAACGCTTCAAATGCTTCTAATCCCTGTGGTGATGAAAACCAATCTGACAGATATAGGCCACTTAATGATGCCAGTGACTTGGCAGCTCTGGAGTTGACCACTTGTACTCTTGACCTCTAGGGTAATCGACATAATGCGATTAATGCTTTTCAGTCTCTCTCTCTCTCTCTCTCTCTCTCCCCCCCACAGCCATGCAGCAGCTTTCTCTAGATGTTCATTCTTTCTCGTTTGCCGGTGGTAATAGGCCCTTTTCACGTGACGTCAGACAACTTCCGTTCTGCCGCGATGCAGGTTATGTTTACATCCGGTGTCGCTTAGGAACGCTTAGCTAGTAGCACATCATTATGGAGTTCACCCAGTCCCTTTCACATCTGCCACCAATACGACAAAATGATACATTTTGGTAATCACTTTTCAGTCCCTAAAATGACAAAATGTAGCAGCTATATTGCATCAGGATTAAATTATTAAACATTTTGTACAAGTAATATATTATTGGATTACAGTAGTATTACGTTTAACGCTGTCTACCTATCCTTACCCCAATCATTCCAGTGGAATCTAGACGGCACTGATCCCTGTTTAATACGGATCCGTCCACTGGCCGATGTGTATCTATCCTCAGGGGGAAAGTGCTGACTGCAAACAAAGGTGCTCCCACGAAGAATCTTAAAACTTGGTCCCTCATCTCTCCTGATCGCCCTCACCCAACGGGCACGTATTTCTCCATCAACAGGGAAATCGTGAAAACTCAGATACGGGAATTTCTGTTTGTTGTTTGAACAAAATGGTACACTGCAATAGCATCTTCTCGAAGATTGTGCCATGCTTCGGTGTTGGATGGGATACTGTTGCGATACAGACACCGGGAGAAAAGAAACAGCTAAATTAACATTCAGCTTTGACCAGGAATCAATATTTATCTAGCTATCATGCACAACAGTATTTGAATAGGTGAGTTACTATACATTCATGAATAAACTAACTGCCTAACAAAGGGTTAGATAGCTAGCTAAGTAAACTTGTTACATTACAGCCAGGCAGCAATGTAACGCTACCTTTTAACGTTATCGGTATCTGGTACTAAGTTGTTGTTAGCTAACGTTAGCCCACTTTTAAGTAACTAAGGCAGTGAACAATTATGAATTAACAATAACGTTAGCAAGTTACAAACCATTGCATATACGTAAACATTATTACTCTTAACTTTACTAATTTAACTTAAACGTACCTTTTGGAATTTCTTCAAGTAGCTAGCTTGCTAGTTAGTGGTCAACAGTTGTATTTTCGTTGAGAAGTCTCAGGTTACGGGCGAACGGAAGTGAAGTTAACCTGCTACGCGGAAAGGCGGAAGTTAGATGACGTCATCGTGAAAAGGGCCTATTAGCCTTTAACCAGACCGGTATGACCACATTACTTTCTTTGTCCAATCAGAAAGCACATACTAAGACTAGTAAAAGAGTGGGGAATGAAAGCCCTCTGGAGTGGCAGTGATCTGACCAAATGCAGGACTAAATGTTAAGTGGTTGGAATATTGTCATTTAACGGCCGACGCGGCTATTTCAGATGAGTGACTCTGTTAGAAGGCATTTGAGCTGGAAAGCAAGCATTTCAGGTTAGCTAGCGATCCCTTATTATTGGGCATTGGGTAATAACAAGGTGTTTTCTCCCTGTGTTCCCTTCAGGTTCTTCTGTGTTGTGGCAGGCAGGCAGGCAGGCGGGGCACCAGATGACTGGTGTGTACTTGGAGTAAGGCTTTGAGCTGTTGTGCTGCGCTGTATTGGAGCACAATTCACAGGTGAGTGTCAGAGATTCCACTTCCTTCTGTACTTCTTCCATTCTTCTGTCACTTCCACCTTTTTTAAACACTGATTGGTTAAGCACGAGTCTCTATTTGAAACAGTGCTCCATTCATGATGATGTCAGAGTAACTAAGGTGTGAAGGCGGGACAATAATGTGTCTGTTCTGGAAATGTATTTTCTGCTGTGTGTGTGTGTGTCCATCTGGACTACCGAGCCACAGTGGGTTTGGTTAGGGCAGTTTGCACTCTCCTCTGTTTGGAGAATGGGTTTGTACAGTCACCAGGAGCCTCTCTGTGTGGAACTCTGGGGATGGCACCCTTTTCCCTATATAGGGAACTACTTTTGACCAGGGCCCATGAAGGAAATAGGTTGCTATTTGGGGCACAACCTTTATCCATCCTCTCAGACCGCCCTCAATGTCCCTCTGTGTCATTCTGTCTGTTCATAATCCTCAGCTGGGCAAACATATTGCACCTGAAACACGTACTGTAGTGGAGATATGGCTGTGTTTGATCTTGGTGGTATGTCGCACCAAGGCTTTGAAACGATGTAAAAAGAGAATGATCAACGTTGTTGTTGACATCCTGGTTTGTATCTGATGAAGTGGAAACCAATTTGACGTGGGTACCCTGCCTTCTCCAGCCTTCCAGGTGCTGTGTTGTCTGCCTGAGGTGAGGGCAGTCAGACTGGTTTTGATGTAGGGTGAAGTTGCCCTTAGACACTGATCTTGGGACAGTTTAGCATTTTCCCCCCACTAATGGTTAGGATTGGCAGCGGAGAAGCCTATCCTAGATCTGTACCGAGGGGAAAGTTCATCCTGTAGTGTTATTGTTCCATTCAAATGTCCCTCAAAAACATATTATTTCCAAGGTATTATAATGGGGCATTGTCAGTGCATTGGGTTTGTTTTCATTCCACATTCTTGTTTTGTGAGTATACCAAACATTAGGAACACCTTCCTAATATTGAGTCTCAAAGTGAACACTTATGGAAGATTCTGGAGTGAAGCCTGAGACAGCGTTTTCCACCACCATCAACAAAACACCAAAATATGGAATTTCTCATGGAAGAATGGTGTTGCATCCCTCTAATAGAATTCCAGACACTTGTAGAATCTGTGCCAAGGCGCGTTGAAGCTGTTCTGACGGCTCGTGGTGGCCCAACGCCCTATTAAGACACTTTATGTTGGAGTTTTCTTTATTTTGTTACCTGTATGTTAGTGTGTGCAAGTCAAAGTCCTTATGATTTTATATCTGAATTTTCTCTATATTTGTTTTCTGAAGATTAGAACTTAGACCAGAGAAAGCTGTAAGTAAGCTGTGACAAGCCTTGGGTGTTTTGCAAGTAACCACTTACAGGCTTGAATTGGGAAACGGTTCTGTTCTCCTGTATAGTTAATGTTGGAGAGATCTGCCAGTGGGACCAGTCATTGTCTGTCCCAAATGGCACCCTATTCCCTATATAGTGCTCTTCTGTTGACCAGAGCCCTGGTCAAATGTAGTGCACTATAAAGGGAATAGGGTTCCATTTGGGACTTATCCGTTGTTTTAGCGAGTTGCTTGTTAGGGTTATGGAAATGAAGGCTTTTCATACTGAATCACTCCATTGATAGTAGCTTACTGCTCCAGTAGTTTTTTCACGCCTTGTTATGCCGGGTATTTTACATCAAGGCCCCACATTTGTGTTTGCTCTTGATGTTTGGAATGTATCAATATGCACTCGTTCATATCCTAATCAAATGTGGTTACCATATAAATTAAAATAGACAGTTTAAAGGGGCGTGACGTGTTTCATCAACATCCATCTTGAATTATACAACGGGTGGGTCTAATCCTGAATGCTGATTGGTTAAAACCGCATTCCAGCCGGAGTCTATTCCACAAGTTACCACCGGCTAAATCTATTACTTTAAAATGTCTATTTAATCTGTTCCATCTGACTGCGCAATCCACTGTCTCATCAGCCCAGCCAGGCAATTTATAAACTTGATCTCCACTATAAAAAGCATCTAGACATTATCTCACATTTCTTTTAGGCTAACATTTAGTTTACAACAGCGGAGATTTGTATAAACCTTGCTGTCTGTCTCTCGGACATTTGCAACATTGTTTCAATATTCAAATTCGATCTCCAGCTGTCCTATAGTAATGAACGTGTCGGGACGAGACAGGCAGGCAGGCAGCTTTTCTCAGCCAGTCGAAATCATGAATCAGCTGGCATAATTTTTATGGTTTGTTTGTTCTAAATGTTCCATTGCCATACTGGCTGGCAACGTTCTTATCCCTTGCTTGCTAGCTAGCCAACTATGGCTAACCTACAGTCACGTCAAACAGTGCAGCCGGAATAACAGCAGCCACATTTGCATTTGTTTAAGTTGTTTTCTAGTGACATTTATTTGGATACATCCATAACAATGAGCTAAGGAGGCGCGATTCCGCCTGGCATAGAAAATGTGCTCTCTCGTCAGGAAACTGTTGTTCAGAGGAGCTAGCCAACGACACAGCTAACACAATGACTTCAAATGGAAGCTGGAAAGACTGCAAACTAGCTGTACTTCGTTTAATTTGACCTTTTTTCAATTGATATTTCTTTGTGTATATATACATAAAAATGATGCCAGCTGATTCATGATTTTGACTGTCTGAGAAATGCTGCCTGCCTGTCTGTTTCGTCCCGACTCCCGACACGTTCATTACTATAGGACAGCTGGAGATCGAATTTGTATATTGAAACAGTTTGCAAATGTCAGAGAGTCAGACGGCAAGGTTTATACAAATCTCCGCTGTTGAAAACTAAATGTTAGTCTAAAAGAAATGTGAGATAATGTCTAGATGCTTTTTATAGTGGAGATCAAGTTTATAAATTACCTGGCAGGGCTGATGAGACAGTGGATTGCGCAGTCAGATGGAACAGAGTAAATAAGCATTTTAACGTCATAGATGTAACCGGTGGTAACTTGTGGAATAGACACCGGCTGGAATGCGGTTTTAACCAATCAGCATTCAGGATTAGACCCACCCATTGTATAAAGCCAGACATGACCACCTGGTCTTCCCGATAGCTACTGAGGTGAGACAGGCCGTTCATACAAGGACCTGTACATACAGTGCATTCGGAAAGTATTCAGACCCCTTGACTTCTTCCACATTTTGTTATGTTACAGCCTTATTCTAAAATGGATGAAATTGTTTCTTCCCCTCATTAATCTACACACAATACCCCATAATGGCAAAGCAAAAACAGGTTTTTAGAAATGTTTGCACATTTATTACAAATAAAATTCTGAAATATCACATTTACGTAAGTATTCAGACCCTTTACTCAGTACTTTGTCGAAGCACCTTTGGCAAGGATTACAGCCAAGCCTTCTTGGGTATGACGCTAGAAGCTTGGCACACATGTATTTGGGGAGTTTCTCCCATTCTTATCTGCAGATCCTCTCAAGCTCTGTCAGGTTGGATGGGGAGTTCGGGTTCAAGTCTGGGCTCTGGCTGGGCCACTCAAGGACATTCAGAGACTTGTCCCGAAGCCACTCCTGTGTTGTCTTGGCTGTGTGCTTGGGGTCATTGTCCTGTTGGAAGGTGAACCTTCGCCCCAGTCTGAGGTCCTGAGCGCTCTGGAGCAGGTTTTCATCAATGATCTCTGTACTTTGCTCCGTTCATCTTTCCCTTGATCCTGACAAATCTCCCAGTCCCTGCTGCTGAAAAACATCCCCACAGCATGATGCTGCCACCACCATGCTTCACCATATGGATGGTGCCAGGTTTTCTCCAGACATGACGCTTGGCATTCAGGCCAAAGAGTTCAATATTGGTTTCATCAAACCAGATAATCGTTTTTCTCATGGTCTGAGAGTCCTTTAGGTGCCCTTTGGCAAACTCCAAGCGGGCTGTCATGTGCCTTTTTTACTGAGGAGTGGCTTCCGTCTGGCCACTCTACCATAAAGGCCTGATTGGTGGAGTGCTGCAGAGATGGTTGTCCTTCTGGAAGGTTCTCCCATCTCCACAGAGAAACTCTAGAGCTCTGTCAGAGTTACCATCTGGGTATTGGTCACCTCCCTGACCAAGGCCCTTCTCCCGCCATTGCTCAGTTTGGTCGGGCAGCCAGCTCTAGAAAAATTATTAGTGGTTCCAAACTTCTTCCATTTAAGAATGATGGAGGCCACTGCATTCTTGGGGACCTTCAATGCTTTGGTACCCTTCCCCAGATCTGTGTCTCGACATAATCCTGTCTCAGAACTCTATGGACAATTCCTTCGACCTCATGGCTTGGTTTTTGCTCTGACATGCACTGTCAACTGTGGGACCTTTATATAGACAGGTGTGTGGCTTTCCAAATCATGTCCAATTAATTGAATTTATCACAGGTGGACTCCAATCAAGTTGTAGAAACATAATAATAATATGACATTTAGCAGACGCTTTTATCCAAAGCGACTTAGTCATGCGTGCATACATTTTTTGTGTATGGGTGGTCCCGGGGATCGAACCCACTACCTTGGCGTTACAAGCGCCGTGCTCTCAAGGATGATCAATGAAAACAGGATGCACCTGAGCTCATATTTGAGTCTTATAGCAAAGGGTCTGAATACTTATGTAAATAAGGTATTTCAGTCTTTCATTTGTAAAACATTTGCAAACATTTCTTAACCTGTTTTCGCTTTGATTATGGGCTATTGTGTGTAGAATGATGAGGAAAAATAAATTAACTTAAACATTTTTCGAATAAGGCTGTAACGTAACAAAGTGGAAAAAGTCAAGGGGTCTGAATACTTTCCGAATGCACTGTAGCTAGACATGACCGCCTGGTCTTCCTGATAGCTACTGAGGTGAGACAGGCAATCCCACCGTCAGTGCACATTTACAAACATTCTCTTGTCAGAAGATCCTGGTTTGATGATGGTTGTGTTTTCTTGTGTACCAAATATGCCAGGTGTTGTTGTGGGGGAAGGCCAGAGAGAGGTGCTCATTTTGGAAGTGGGTTGCTTTTGTTTATCCCTACATGGAGCAGACCTTTGCTACCAAGTTGCTGAAATACCAGCCCCTCGTGTCACGACTGAACATCCTCGGTTATCAGTGCGAACTTGTGGTGCTGATGTTTGGGAGTCTCTGCCATGTACATAGGCTGACTGTACGTGGCCTTCAGATTGCAGGCCTGCATAGGACAAATGATTTGTGGATTTAAAATAACGTTTTTTAAATGTGTGTGTGTGTGTGTCCTCCAGCCATGCAGCAGGTGCTGGATAACCTGAGAGACCTGCCCCCCACCACGGGCGCCAAAGACACCGACCTCCTCTTCCTCAGGGGCATCATAGAGAGCCCCATAGTCCGCTCCCTCGCCAAGGTAACACACCCACACACTCCATCATATCATCAGTTCAGAGAGGAGGAGGGATGAGAAAGAGGCACTCAGGGCCACCATATAAATGTCTCCTCCATCTTGTCAGAACGGACTGTGCCAATAATGGCAATGAGTCACTACCCCTCATTCAAACAGCAGCAGTCTGGAACAGTTTGGCCACGAATGTTTTGAATGTAGGGTATGACCTGTTAGCCAGCCAGCCAATCTGCCAGTACACGACGCAACTTGCACGCAATTTTAGTTGCTTACAACCGAGTTGTTTCTTGATTGCTTTATGGGGGGGTGTCAATGTAAAGAGTCTGGGTGGCCATTTGATTTATTGTTCAGCAGTCTTATGGCTTGGGGGTAGAAGCTGTTATGAAGCCTTTTGGACCTAGACTTGGCGCTCCGGTACCGCTTGCCGTGCGGTAGCAGAGAGAACAGTCTATGACTTGGGTGACTGTAGTCTTTGACAATTTTTTGGGCCTGCCTCTGACACCGCCTAGTGTATATAGGTACTGGATGGCAAGAAGCTTGGCCCCAGTGATGTACTGGGCCGTACGCACTACCCTCTGTAGCGCCTTACGGTCGGATGCCGAGCAGTTTCCATACCAGGCGGTGATGCAACCGGTCAGGATGCTCTCGATGGTGCAGCTGTAGAACATTTTGAGGATCTGGGACCCATGCCAAATCTTTTCAGTCTCCTGAAGGGGAAAAGGCGTTGTCATGCCCTCTTCACGACTGTCTTGGTGTGTTTGGACCATGATAGTTTGTTCGTGATGTGGACACCAAGAAACTCTCGACCCGCTCCACTACTGCCCTGTCGATGTTAATGGGGGCCTGTTTGTCCTGTAGTGCACGATCATCTCCTTTGTCTTGCTCACATTCAGGGAAAGGTTGTTCTGACCCAGTTGTCATGTCAACACAGCTATCCATGCTGCGCAGCACAACCCGCAATCAGGCTTGACAGAACAGAGACTAACACAACAGGAAATGTATACAAATTATTGTATATGGTTTAGCAGTCAATAAATGTAATTTCGAAGAGAACCCAAACCTCTCCCAGACCAGTTTCAACTGAAATTATCCACCATGAAGTGTGCTAGCTAGCTAAGCTCGTTGTTAGCTAGCTAGGTGTTACTGTTTGCAATGTCATTTTGGCTAGCTAGCTAGCTATGTTGGTGTTTTTGCAATGTCCTTTTGGCTAGCTAGCTAAATTGTACAGGCTGCATTTCTACTGTGTCCTTGCTGTTACAATAACCAACCAGTTGGGTAAACACATCATTTGTGAAACCACAATGTAATGCAACAGATGACATGGGGTGAGTTTTAGAATTCTCAAACAAGCAGCTTCAATTTGATTGGCTGTTGCATGCAATTTTAATCACGTTTGAGTAGCTTCAGCTAACAGCAAGGCAAGGTGGCTTGAGATTATGTCACTTGTAACTGCAACTAAAATTGCGTGAAAGTTGCTTTGTTACCCCAGCCTAAGTCTTGGTGGTTACTGCCGGGTGCATAGGGTTAACAGCTGCACATCTATGTTTAACACGGCAGTGAAATGTCATCTAGAACGTGTTTCAGCGGGCCAGCCATGTCAGAGATTCTACAGAGGTCAGGGGCCTGCCTCATTTATAAACCGCAGTGGTGTAAAGTACTTAAGTAAAAATACTTTAAAGTACTACTTAAGTAGTTTTTTGGGGTATGTTTACTATTTATATTTTTTACAACTTATACTTCGCTACATTCCTAAAGAAAATGTACTTTTTACTCCATCCATTTTCCCTGACACCCAAAAGTAGTCATTACATTTTGAATGCTTAGCAGGACAGGAAAAAGGGCAAATTCTCGCACTTATCAAGAGAACATCCCTACTGCCTCTGATCTTGCAGACTCACTAAACACAAATGCTTTGTTTGTAAATGATGTCTGAGTGTTGGAGTGTGCCCCTGGCTATCCGTAAATTTGCTTAATATAAGGAATTTGAAATAATTTATACTTTTACTTTAGATACTTAAGTATATTTAAAAACAAATACTTGTACTTTTACTCAAGTAGTATTTTACTGGGTGACTTTCACTTTTACTTCAGTAATTTTCTATTAAGGTACGGTATCTTTACTTTTACTCAAGTATGACAGTTGGGTACTTTTTCAACCACTGATAAACCATGCGTACGTACAAAATGTACCCCAAAATGTGTGTGTGCCAGTTTTCATGCAAAAGTTGGCATTTTATACAAATGTAAGTTGATGTGAGAATGTGCTCACCTCCCCACAACTCTGCGAGTGGTTGAAAAATAGTGTTGCAAGTACCGTAATTTTCGGACTATAAGCTGCGCCTTTTTTCCAATTTTTCGACCCTGCGGCTTATATAACGGTGCGGCTAATCTATGGATTTTACAGGTTACAGTCCACCAACTTTAACTCTATGGGCTCTATGACCGGTCCGCGCCCCCCACCTTTAAGCGGCGGGCTCCAGCAGGAAAAGCTGGAGGCCGGAAAAGAGTGAGACAGGTAGCGCGCAAAAGTAAAAGTGGAACCGAGAGTGGTACGAGAGACAGAACGAGAGACAGAACGAGAGCAAGACAGACAGACATTACGAGAGCGAGACAGTTTGTCTCTTTCCCGACAATCCCCTCTGTGCACGAACCCTTACATATGGTAATTAAACATTAAAACACCTGCGGCTTATAGTCCAGTGCGGCTTATATATGTACACATCATTCAATATCATTCAATTTAGCTGCTGCGGCTTATACTCCGGTGCGCCTTATAGTGCGGAAAATACGGTAAGTATTTTGTGCAAATGGCGGATATGATGAAAAGCTTATTCATAAAAAAAACAAAAAACAGGAAAACATTTGCACAAAATGTGCAGTTAGTGAGAAGAGAGAAAATCTGTTTTTATTTTTAGAATCTAAAATAGTTAGACACAGGAATCTTTTTCGTATTTATTTTATTTTCATAACCATTGCAGAACATTTTCTTCACCTTTTCTGGCCGTGATGGGTTCATATTTCCGAAAGAGCCATACAACCCATCTCTCATTTAATTGGACCTAGTAGCCTTGTAAATAGATAATGGTTGGGCGGTATCCAGATTCTCATACCGTTTCTGTACCGTACCGGGGTTTATTACTGGATGTGCACACACAGGGCACTATTCCCCCCCCAACAAAACATTATTATAAAAACGTTTGACGCACAAGATTTAGGCAACAGGGAACTTGATCCAGGAGGGGATTGAATGTCTCTGCTGTAACCAAGAAGCTTGATCTTGACATCTAGCCACTTAGCAAGCAAATTAGCAAACCAAATAAACAGCTGGAGCCCTGAGCTGGATATAATTAATTTGACACATCTGAGATTTCTTATAGTTATAATTAAGTTCTAAGCAGTGGCGTAGCACGCACCCCCACAACCCCCGGGTTAGTGCAGAGTTTTAATGCTCGTTCACGCGCGCAAAGTTTTACGACGGGTCTAGTTTATAACTGTAACCATGTATTGTTTATAAATCTAAATATTTATGAACGTGCTCAGACTTCAGAAATTGACATTTTGTGTGACATTTACACAACTGTTATAAATGTGGCCCCAGGAGTAGCAGTGTGTGTGTGTTCAGATGGGACATGCTGACATCTGGTGGACATTTATCCTTGGTTCACTTTTCACAGGAAGAAAAACAAATAAATAAAACTGGCCAGGGACAGGGCATGCATAAATCAAATCAAATCAAGCTTTATTTCTACAGCACATTTACATTTCAGACATGGAATGCAACACAATGTGCTTCACAGGAAAAACAAACACATATTTAATATTTACTACACAACAAATGTAAGAGGATAAAAAAAAAAACTAAATAATAACAATAAGAACTGAACGACTAAAAAGCACCCTAAGGAAAAGCAAAGCTTTAAAGATGTTTTAAGATCTCTTTTAAATGTGTCCACAGTTCCGGCCCCGCTCAGGTTCTCTGGCAGGCTATTCCAGTAACTAAAGGTTGCCTCTCCATACCTCTTGGTCCTACGCTTTGGGGCCTGAACTAAATACTGTGTGTATTAATGTGTGTGCGCTCCCCCCTCTCTCTGCAGGCCCATGAGAGGTTGGAGGATGTGAAGCTGGAGGCTGTGAGAGAAAACAACCAGCAGCTGATCTCAGAGATCCTAGACTCCATTACAGGGCTGAGTGGTAGAGACGCCTCCGCTGAGGAACTAGCCAACATCCTCCAGGAACCACACTTCAAGGTACACACACACACACACACACACACACACACACACACACACACAGTGCCATTCAGTTGAGCAGTTAGAGCTAGTCTGAAAGTAGACCAGAGAATGACTCTCAACTGGGGCCATAATCTGGTGGAATGACTGTCCTGTCCTGTCAGAGCTGTTTACAGCAACAATCACCTTATTCCTCCTGAAGTCTCTGCCTCTCTCTCTCTGCTCTCTCTCTCTCTCTTCTGCCTCTCTCTCTCTGCCTCTCTCTCTCTCTCTCTGCCTCTCTCTCTCTCTCTTCGGTGTGCCTCTCTCAGTGTCTCTCTCTCTCTTCTCTATGTCTGCGTTCTCCTCTCTCTTGCCTATCTCGAGACATATATAATTAGCTCTCTTCGAAAGGATCTAGCCTCTATGCCTAGCAGGACCTGGAGGGCTCTAATATAGCTCTCTCTCTCTCTCTTCTTCTCTCTCCCTCGCCCTCTCCTCTCCCTCTCCTATCCCTCTCCCTTCTCCTCTCTCTCTTCTCCTTCTCTCTCGGCTGTGCGTGTGCCTCTTCTCTGCTGCCTCTCATTCTCTCTCTTCAGTTAAAATTAAATTAAGGGCTTTATTGGCATGGGGCAAACGTATGTTAAACTTGGCCAAAGCAAGTGAAGTAGATAGTAAACAAACGTGAAATAAACCAATAAATATTAACAGTAAATATTACACTCAGAAGTTGGTCCAATAAATAATAGACATTTAAAATGCCATATGTGTATATATACAGTGTTTTACACAAATGTGCAAATAGTTAAAGTCCCAAAATGGGAAAATAAATAGAACATAAATCTAGGGGTTGTATTTACCAAATGGTGTTTGTTCTTCACTGGTTGCCCTTTTCTTGTGGCAACAGGCTCACAAAATCTTGCGGCTCTCTCTCTCTCATCATATCTCTGTCATACTCTCTCTTCTCCTATTCTCTCTCTCTCTATCTCTAGCTCCTCTCTCTCTCTTCTCTCTCTTCTCTCTCTCTCTCTCTCTCTCTCTCTCTCTCTCTCTCAATTAAATTCAATTCAATTTCAATTCAATTTAAGGGCTTTATTGGCATGGGAAACGTGTGTTAACATTGCCAAAGCAAGTGAAGTAGATAGTAAACAAAAGTGAAATAAACAATAAATATTAACAGTAAACATTACACTCAGAAGTTTCAAAAGAATAAAGACATTTCAAATGTCATATTATGTATATATACAGTGTTGTAACAATGTGCAAATAGTTAAAGTACAAAATCTCTCTCTCTCTCTCTCTCTCTGTGTCTGCCCCTCTCTGTGTCTGACCCTCTGTCTCGTGTCTCTCGCTCTCTCTCTCGTTGGAACTACACTACATGACCAAAAGTATGTGGACACCTGTTCGTCGAACATCTCATTCCAAAATCATGGGCATTAATATGGAGTTGGTCCCCCCTTTGCTGCTATAACAGCCTCCACTCTTCTGGGAAGGCTTTCCACTAAATGTTGGAACATTGCTGCAGGGACTTGCTTCCATTCAGCTACAAGAGTGTTAGTGAGGTCGGGCACTGATGTTGGGCGATTAGGCCTGGCTCGCAGTCGGCGTTCCAATTCATCCCAAAGGTATTCGATGGGGTTGAGGTCAGGGCTTAGTGCAGGCCAGTCAAGTTCTTCCACACCGATCTTGACAAACCATTTCTGTATGGACCTCGCTTTGTGCACGGGGGCATTGTTATGCTGAAACAGTAAAGGGCCTTCCCCAAACTTTTGCCACAAATTTGGAAGCACAGAATCGTCTAGAAATGTTTAGAATCGTAATCGAACCCACAATTGCTGATGCTCCAGATACTCAAATAGTCTCAAGAAGGCCAGTTTTATTGTTTCTTTAATCAGCACAACAGTTTTCAGCTGTGCTAACATTATTGCAAAAGGGTTTTTCTAATGATCAATTAGCCTTTTAAAATGATAAACTTGGATTAGCAAACACAATGTGCCATTGGAACACAGGACTGATGGTTGCTGATAATGAGCCTCTCTACGCCTATGTAGATATTCCATTAAAAATCAGCCGTTTCCAGCTACAATAGCCATGTACAACATTAACAAGGTCTACACTGTATTTCTGATCAATTTTATGTTATTTTAAATGGGCAAAAAATTTGCTTTTCTTTCGAAAACAAGGACATTTCTAAGTGACCCCAAACCTTTTGAACGGTAGTGTCCATAATATTGGTCTAGCTGCAAAACCTATAACATTCATCTGTGTGACACTGCTATGTACACTACTGCCCGGCTGACCAGGCTATGTTGGAGCTGCAATTTGATTTTGTCGCCTTGCAGAAAGTCCTTGTTGATTAAAAAAAATTGGTACTCAATGCGGGAAAAACTTAAATGTATGCGGTTTTCAAATTTTTGTCGAAATATTTCAGATGGCTTACACATTTACGCATTGGATGGTTCTTTCATCGAGCAGGTTCTCGCCTATAAATATCTGGGCTTTTAGATTGACAATAATTTGACGTTTAAACGGATGAGCTAGTTAAAGGAAAATTCCACCCCAAAACGATATGTTGGGATTTGTTTCATTAGTCCAATGTTGACATAGTCCCAAAATGTTTTGCTTGTCAGAAATGACGTTTTCAAGATATGTAACTTTCAAAATACATAAATCATCCCTGTGTGATGCATTTAGCTTCATACAGGGATGAATTCTGTATGTCAACAATGGACTAATGAAACAAATACCAAAAGAGAGTTTTCCTTTTAAGACGCTGAGATTTTAAAGTAGGGTTCTTTTTATAGAAATAGATTCCGCCTCTCCAGAAACGGCAGGAAGCAGATTGTACAGGTAACTCTCCTGCCAGTTCTTGACTATGGTGACACCATTTATCGGAATGCAGCAGCCACTAATCTTAAACCATTTTGATGCCGTCTACCATAGCGCCCTTCGCTTTATCACTGCATCATATATCAAAATGTTGGCTGGTCCTCCTTAAGATCCCGTAGATCACTTCACTACTCCCTTTCTGTTTACAATGCTTTACTACACAAGCTTCTGACCTACCTCCCTTCACTGTTAAAACCCGTTCACAGGGATGGTTAACTCTCGAGGTTCCGCTAGTACGTACCGATTTAGGTCAATCCGCCTTCGGTTTTAATGCCCTCCATTTTTGGAAAAGCCTACCAAACTCCATACATATTGACTCTCTGTGGTGCCTCTAGGACAGTTTAGGACTTTAATGTTGAATGTGTTTAATGAGAATTGCAGGTGTTTGGATTGAATCATTGTTTTTGTGGTGTGTGAAGCTTTTGTGTTAATTCTGTAATTTGTCATTTACTTTATTATTATTGTTAAGAATTTGTTGTATTGTTGTCCTCAGGGCACCATTGTTAATGAGACCCTGGTCTCAATGGGTTCCCCTGAAATAAATAAAAGTTAAATAAAATCTCTCTCTGTCCTCGCATAAAAAAAACAACAAAAAAAAAAAAACAAAAAAAAAAAAAAAAAAAAAAAAAAAAAAAAAAAAAAAAAAAAAAAAAAAAAAAAAAAAAAAAGAAAAAAAGAGAGAGAGGAGAGAAGATAGAGGGATACGTGCCACTCCCCTAGGAGGAGAGTAGAGAGAAAAAAAAAAAAAAAATTCCTTTTTTTTCTGTCTGGACCAATGAAGCAAGAAAACTGACGCCCTTGGGGGGGGGGGGCTCTGTCCCTGGTTCTAATTGGAGTTGGACGGTCTTCTAGTAGGGGGCAGGTACAACATGAGGGTTAGGGAGTCTATCAGTGTGAGCCAGATCGGTACTGATTGCATGTTGCTGCTCTCCTATCTCTGTCTCTACTTCTAATCTCTATCTATCTCTGTCTATGTTGTGTGAGCCTGGCCTGTGTGTATGAGCTGATATTAATCCTATGGATTATGGCTGCTCCTGACGGTGAGGGTGGGTTGAGAATCTTCCTAAACTGATATTATCCCTTCTTCCTTTTGGGGACTGATTCAGATTTATTTTACTGCATGGCGGGCTTTTTGGTTCTTAAACTTATCTTTAATAAAAAAAACAACGGACTTATTGTTGGTTGGAAGGAGAAGTGTAGTAAGTAATATGTTTGAGTCTACCATCCTGTGAAGAAAGAAGAGAAGAGCTGTGATGGTTCATATACACTGGAGCAGCTGTTATCCAGTGGGGCTGTTTGTGTTTTTCTCTTACCGTTGTTAGTAAATCCATGCGGGTTGCCGTGTGCTGCTTGGACTGTGACATTAGGATTAATTAGTGTTTTGATGAAGAAGGGGGGGTGGTGGTCAGGAGGGATGGGTACAGGGTATATATATTGTTGGTATTTGTATTTGGGGATGTTGGTTTGTAACAGGTTGTGTGATTGATTAACAGTATCAAGTTCAGTCATGTACAGTACCTGAGGCTCAAACAGGGATCATCTGACTCAAAAAAAAAACGTGACTGCAAACCTTCTTGGTGACAAACTCTTAGCACTTGCGCTTATAAGAAAAGCGAGGGGGAGGAGGGCGAGGAGGCGAGGGGGAGAAAGGGACGAAGCAACGCGGGGGGGGGGGGGACGCTGGGGCGGGGGCGGGAGCGGGAGGGGGGGGGGGGGCAGGGGGGAGGGGAGACGGGAAGATAGGCAAGCACGCGGCCCACACAGTCCTTATATATATCGGTATCTCGTAATCTCCAGAGTTGGTGTTAGGGGTTGGGGTATATAGGACTTCGATATATTTATCGCGAGAATATTATATATGAAGGTAGATATATACAAAAAAAAAAACAAACAAAAACACAAAGGTGTGGGCAGAGAGGGGGGCAGAGGAAGAGAGCAGAGAGAGAAGCGAGAAGAGAGAGAGAGAAAGAAGAAGGAAGAAGAAGCAGACGAAGAAAAGAGAGAAGAAATCAGAAGGAAAAAGCAGAGAAGAAGAAGAGAGAGAAGGAAGAGGGGAAGGAAAGAACGAAGGAAGGAGGGGAAGAGAAGAGAGGAGAGAAGAGAGAGAAGAAAGAAAGAAGAAAGGAGAGGAAAGGGAGATAGGAGCGGGGTGAAAAAGGAGAAAAGGAAGAAGGAATGGATGAAGGGGGAGAGAAAGAGGAAGAAAGAAAAGAAAGAGGCAGTAAGGAAAGAAGAAGAGTAACAAAAAAGAAGAGACAGAGGGGGAGAAAAGGGAAAGGAAAGGAGAAAAGAAGAGCAGAAGAGAAGGAGAGAAGGAGAGGAGAGAGAAGAGGAAAAGCAGGAGAAAGAGGAGAAAGCAAAGTGCTACTCACTTCTTGATTTATATATTTATCTATATTTATCTCTCTATAAAGGCTAGACTTTCATACACGTACTTATGTAGTAGATCAACGTATATATGATAACAGATATCGTCAGCATAAAAGTACTAGCGAGAGAGAAGTATATAGATACTAGATCATCATATCTGATATATTATGATCTAGCTATGTATATATTTCTATCAAAGAGATATCGCACAGGCTAGAGAAGAGGTCTCTCTGTCTCTCACAATCTCTCTCTCTCCTCTCTATCTCGTCCCTCTTCTCTCTCTCCCCGTATCTCTCTCCCGTCTCTCTCTCTCTCTCTCTCTCTCTGTCGTCTCTTGTCTATTCCTTTATATCTATTTCTCTCTCTCTCCTCCAGTATCTGATCGAGGGCCCATGATATAAAGTCAGTGCGCTCTCTCGATCCTCTTCAGTCTCTATCTTTCTCCTCCAGTGGTCTCTCTATCCCTCCAGTCTCTGAAGTGAGGCCATACAAGGTTTTTGCAAGCTAACTCTTCTCTCTCTTCTCCCCGCCTCCAGTCTCGATTGAGGCCCATGACAAGGTGGCAGGTAAATGTTATGAGATGCCGCCCTCGGAGGTGAACAGTAATGCCATGGCAACCGGTCCGCTCATGCCTGCTGATGCCGTCAGGATGATTGGCATCCAGAAGAAGGCTGGCGAACCACTGGTAAGTTAATGTCTGCACCCCAAATGGCAGCCTATTCCCTATATAGTGCACTTATTTTGACAAGGGACCATAGCCAGGCTCCGGTCAAAAGTAGTGCACTATGTAGGGAACAGGGTACCATTTGGGACGTAGTCTCAGACATTACCAATCTAACTGCAAGAGCTGGATGACTGTCCAAAGTTTGTACTTAGCAGTTTAGCTACGTGTAATATTTTAATCCCTTGTCTGATGCATTAACCTCTCCCTCTCTCTCCTCCCCTCTCTTTCTCTCCTCCCCTCTCTTCTCCTCCTTAGGGGGTGACGTTCAGGGTGGAACGAGGGGAGCTGGTGATCGCCAGGATCCTGCACGGCAGTTTGATCGACCGGCAGGGCATGCTGCACGCGGGCGACGTCATCAGGGAGGTGAACGGGCGCGAGGTGGGCAGCGACCCCAAGGAGCTGCTGGAGCTGCTGAGGGACTGCCAGGGGGGCATCACCCTCAAGATCCTTCCCAGCTACCGCGACACTCCAGCACCCCCACAGGTGAGAACAGGGTGGTATTTATTAGTGCACCGTATAAAAAAATGTTTTGCAACAGAAAACAAAAACAAATGTTTCTTATTGGGCAGATTCAGGTAGGATTCAGTTTCAGACCATTTGCTTCCATTCACATCCTAATGACTGCAACACAGGGGTGGCTAACCCTCCTCCTCCTTGGAGTGCAATTGGGAATGTAGACTTTTGCACCAACCCTGCACCAACACAGGTGATTCAGCAGATAAGGAGAGTCAGATGTGTTAAAACAGGGCTGGAGCAAAAGCCTGCATGAACAAGTAGATCTTCAGGAGGAGGGTTTGGTTACCCACTAGGTACTAGGTACAGGTCAGAGGTGCTGTAATAATGATACTGTTAGATGTGAGTACCATGCACCTATCTCCTATTGAAAACCTGTTTCTGCGCCTGGGGCTGTACAGGTGAGAGGGAATATACAGTATACTGTTCAGTTGTCCCTTGGTCGTATTTGATTAGATCTTTGTAAAGTACTTTAGTATTTTTACTTAAGTCGTTTTTTGGGGGTATCTGTACTTTACTATTTATATTTTTGACAACTTTTTTTACTTCACTACATTCCTAAAGACAATAATTTACTTTTTACTCCATACATTTTCCTTAGACACCCAAAAGTACTCACTACATTTCAAATGCTTAGCAGGCCAGGGAAATTGTTAAATTCACCCTCTTATCAACAGAACATCCCTGGTCATCCCTACTGCCTCTGATCTGGCGGACTCGCTAATCACAAATGCTTCATTTGTAAATGATGTCTGAGTGTTGGAGTGTGTCCCTGGCTATCCGTAAATTTAAATAACAAGAAAATGGTGCCTTAATATAAGGAATTTTTTATACTTCTACTTTTTACTTTTGATACTTAAGTATATTTAAGCAATTACATTTACAGTTGAAGTCGGAAGTTTACATACACTTAGGTTGGAGTTATTAAAACTCGTTTTTCATCCACTCCACAAATTTCTTGTTAACAAACTATAGTTTTGGCAAGTCGGTTAGGACATCTACTTTGTGCATGACACAAGTAATGTTTCCAACAATTGTTTACAGACAGATTATTTCACTTATAATTCACTGTGTCACAATTCCAGTGAGTTGACTGTGCCTTTAAAAAGCTTGGAAAATTCCAGAAAATGACATCATTTGAGTCAGTTGGAGGTGTACCTGTGGATGTATTTCAAGGCCTACCTTCAAACTCAGTGCCTCTTTGCTTGACATCATGGGAAAATCAGAAGAAATCCGCCAAGACCTCAGGAAAAAAATTGTAGACCTCCACAAGTCTGGTTCATCCTTGAGAGCAATTTCCAAACGCCTGAAGGTACCACGTTCATCTGTACAAACAATAGTACGCAAGTATAAACACCATGGGACCACACAGCCGTCATACCGCTCAGGAAGGAGACGCGTTCTGTCTCCTAGAGATGAATGTACTTTGGTGCGAAAAGTGCAAATCAATCCCAGAACAACAGCAAAGGACCTTGTGAAGATGCTGGAGGAAACGGGTACAAAAGTATCTACAGTGAGGGGAAAAAAGTATTTGATCCCCTGCTGATTTTGTACGTTTGCCCACTGACAAAGAAATGATCAGTCTATAATTTTAATGGTAGGTTTATTTGAACAGTGAGAGACAGAAAAACAACAACAAAATCCAGAAAAATGCATGGCAAAAATGTTATAAATTGATTTGCATTTTAATGAGGGAAATAAGTATTTGACCCCCTCTCAATCAGAAAGATTTCTGGCTCCCAGGTGTCTTTTATACAGGTAACGAGCTGAGATTAGGAGCACACTCTTAAAGGGAGCGCTCCTAATCTCAGCTTGTTACCTGTATAAAAGACACCTGTCCACAGAAGCAATCAATCAATCAATCAGATTCCTAACTCTCCACCATTGCCAAGACCAAAGAGCTCTCCAAGGATGTCAGGGACAAGATTGTAGACCTACCCAAGGCTGGAATGGGCTACAAGACCATCGCCAAGCAGCTTGGTGAGAAGGTGACAACAGTTGGTGCGATTATTTGCAAATGGAAGAAACACAAAAGAACTGTCAATCTCCCTCGGCCTGGGGCTCCATGCAAGATCTCACCTCGTGGAGTTGCAATGATCATGAGAACAGTGAGGAATCAGCCCAGAACTACACAGGAGGATCTTGTCAATGATCTCAAGGCAGCTGGGACCATAGTCACCAAGAAAACAATTGGTAACACACTACGCCGTGAAGGACTGAAATCCTGCAGCGCCCACAAGGTCCCCCTGCTCAAGAAAGCACATATACAGGGCCGTCTGAAGTTTGCCAATGAACATCTGAATAATTCAGAGGAGAACTAGGTGAAAGTGTTGTGGTCAGATGAGACCAAAATCGAGCTCTTTGGCATCAACTCAACTCGACGTGTTTGGAGGAGGAGGAATGCTGCCTATGACCCCAAGAACACCATCCCCACCGTCAAACATGGAAGTGGAAACATTATGCTTTGGGGGTGTTTTTCTGCTAAGGCATCAAAGGGACGATGGACGGGGCCATGTACTGTCAAATCTTGGGTGAGAACCTCCTTCCCTCAGCCAGGGCATTGAAAATGGGTCGTGGATGGGTATTCCAGCATGACAATGACCCAAAACACACGGGCAAGGCAACAAAGGAGTGGCTCAAGAAGAAGCACATTAAGGTCCTGGAGTGGCCTAGCCAATCCCATAGAAAATCTGTGGAGGGAGCTGAAGGTTTGAGTTGCCAAACGTCAGCCTCGAAACCTTAAGGACTTGGAGAAGATCTGCAAAGAGGGGTGGAACAAAATCCTTCCTGAGATGTGTGCAAACCTGGTGGCCAACTACAAGAAACGTCTGACCTCTGTGATTGCCAACAAGGGTTTTGCCACCAAGTACTAAGTCATGTTTTGCAGAGGGGTCAAATACTTATTTCCCTCATTAAAATGCAAATCAATTTATAACATTTTTGACATGCGTTTTTCTGGATTTTTCTGTTGTTAGTCTGTCTCTCACTGTTCAAATAAACCTACCATTACAATTATAGACTGATCATGTCTTTGTCAGTGGGCAAATGTACAAAATCAGCAGGGGATCAAATACTTATTTCCCTCACTGTATATCCACAGTAAAACGACTCCTATATCGACATAACCTGAAAGGCCACTCAGCAAGGAAGTAGCCACTGCTCCAAAACTGCCATAAAAAAGCCAGACTACGGTTTGCAACTGCACATGGGGACAAAGATTGTACTTTTTGGAGAAATGTCCTCTGGTCTGTTGAAACAAAAATATAACTGTTTGGCCATAATTACCATTGTTATGTTTGGAAGAAAAAGGGGGTTGCTCGCAAGCCGAAGAACACCATCCCAACCGTGAAGCACGGGGGTGGCAGCATCATGCTCTGGGGGTGCTTTGCTGCAGGAGGGACTGGTGCACTTCACAAAATAGATGGCATCATGAGGAAGGAAAATTATGTGGATATATTGAAGCAACATCTCAAGACATCAGTCAGGAAGTTAAAGCTTGGTCGCAAATGGGTCTTCCAAATGGACAATGACCCCAAGCATACTTCCAAAGTTGTGGCAAAATGGCTTAAGGACAACAAAGTCAAGGTATTGGAGTGGCCATCACAAAGCCCTGATCTCAATCCTATAGAAAGTGTGGGCAGAACTGAAAAGGCGTGTGCGAGTAAGGAGGCCTACAAACCTGACTCAGTTACACCAGCTCTGTCAGGAGGAATGGGCCAAAATTCACCCAACTTATTGTGGGAAGCTTGTGGAAGGCTACCCAAAATGTTTGACCCAAGTTAAACAATTTAAAGGCGAGGCAACCAAATACTAATTGAGTGTATGTAAACTTCTGACCCACTGGGAATGTAATGAAAGAAATAAAAGCTGAAATAAATCATTCTCTCTATTATTATTCTGACATTTCACATTCTTAAAATAAAGTGGTGACCCTAACTGACCTAAAACAGGGAAGTTTTACTAGGATTAAATGTCAGGAATTGTGAAAAACTGAATTTAAATGTATTTGGCTAAGGTGTATGTAAAATTCCGACTTCAACTGTACTTTTGATACATAATTATATTTAAAACCCAATACTTTTAGACTTTTATTCAAGTAGTATTTTACTGGGTGACTTTCAGTTTTACTTGAGTCATTTTCTATTAAGGTATCTTTGCTTTTACTTCAGTATGACAATTGGGTACTTTTTCCATCGCTGTGCTTTGTACCTGTCAGGGTGGTTGAGGGTGAGACAGGGTTGACCTGGTGCTAACCCAGAATGACAGGGCACGGGACTAGAACTGTTACCCTGCCTGCCTGGGACACACACAGGCCCTATTAATAACACTTCATGGGCTAACTGGGGCACTGAGAGGAGGAGGAGGAGGAAGAGAGGAGAAGGGAGCGAGAGAGGGAGCGAGAGAGGGAGAGAGAGGGAGGGAGAGAGAGGAGGGAGCGAGAGAGGAGGAAGGAGGGAGCGAGAGAGAGGAGGAGGGAGAAAGAGAGAGAGGAGGAGGAGGAGGAAGGAGAGGGGAGGAGGAGGGAGAAAGAGAGAGCGAGGAGGAGAGAGGGAGGGAGTGGAGAGGTGGAAACTGAGCTGCACTTCCTAACCTCCTGCCAAATGTATGACCATATTAGAGACACATTCTTCCCTCAGATTACAGAGATCCACAAAGAATTCGAAAAACAAAGCTAATTTTGATCAACTTCCATATCTACTTGGTGAAATACGACAGTGTGCCATCACAGCAGCAAGATTTGTGACCTGTTGCCACAAGAAAAGGGCAACCAGTGAAGAACAAACACCATTGTAAATACAACCCATATTTATGTTTATTTTCCCATTTGTACTTTAACTATTTGCACATTGTATATAGACATA